GCCTCTTACTAGCCTCTTTTCTTTTTTATCTTACTTTTTATCTTATATATTTAACTTTTAAACTATACTAAGATTAGTAAAAACTAATACACTTTTTATAGAAAAAGACTTATAAGTAAATACTACTAATATATTATTATATAACCTTTTTACTTTTATATAAGTATAATAATAAGAAGAACTTTTACTAAAGTAATAAGGCTTTTTTAAATAAAAGTAGTAATTATATAGTATATTAGCTAGAATAAGGTAACTATTAATAAACTTAAGAAAGGTAAGGCGCTTATAGTCTTTAACTTAAGACTTTTTTAATTTTAAAATTAATTCTCCTATATAACCTAATATAGTGTTAGTATTATAATAAAATAAAGAAGTATAATTAATAACTCCTTAACCTAGAAGATATAACCTACTTATATAGGTCTTAAGGGTAAGACCTTTAGAGAAAAGACCTAATGTTATAACCTAATAAGCTATAGGCTATATTACCTTACCTAATAAGCAGATAATAAGTAGTAATAGTATTAACATAAATAAGAAAACTAAGAATAAATAAATAACTCCTTAGAATAAAAAAACTATAGTATAAGTTATATAATAATAAGAAAGGAGTAATAGATAATAAGCGCTCTAGGTAAAGGACTAACTAGTTAATAGCGCTTTATAGTAAAGGACTAATAAATAGGTATTACTTCTAGGCATACTAAAGGAATTAGGACTTATATATAGGACGGACTTAGACGCACTTAAGGACAGACTTCTATAGCTCTTTAGTAATTAACTTATAATATATTCTTTAAATACCTTTTAGTATCTAACCTTAGTAATTTAATTAACAAGAAGCTATATAAGCTGCCTTTTAACCCTAAGTTTTAACTAATTACTAGGTAATTAATAAGATAATAAAGAAGAGGAATACTATTAACTAGGTACTAACCTCTACTTACTATTAGTAGAAACCTTACTATCTAGAAACTAGCTATAACACTACTTTAATACTTCTTTAACCTTAAAGTAATTTATAACTAAAGTAATTATTATCTTTAGCTTTTATAAGTAGTATAATATAATAAAGTAACTAAAATATTACTACTAAATAAGAAATATAATAAATTATTACTTATAATAAAAGCTAAGGTACTACTTAGTAAATATATAGACTTATTATAAGAAGTTAACTAATATTAAAAAAAGATAAGAATAATTCTTAATAGAGTAGTAATAAACTAACTAGACGTTACTTTTATAGCTTACTAGCTTACTTACTTTAATTATAATTTAAATCTAGATTATATAAAGATTATAAATTATATACTTAAATATCTTTATTATATATAGTATCTTTACCTTAAATATAAAGTAATACTAAGTAGTAAAAATAATATATTAAAGACTATCTTAAATACCTTATTTACTAATAACTTACTAGACTATTATAAGTTATTAGTATATATACTAAAGCTATTTAAAGGGCTTATTCCTTACTAAGCTAATAAGTAAGATATAGTAATAACGTTAACTACTAAGGCTAAATTACTAGTACTATTATTTACTATAAAAGAGATACTTTTTATAAGTAAATTAACTACTATACTAGGTATTTAACTATTAACTTAACTAATAAATAAATTATTACTTAATAAGTAAGTAGCTACTAAATAGCTACTAACTATTTATATTAACTATAATAATATTTAGACTATTAGGCTTATTACTAAAAGCTTATATACTATAATAAGACTATAGTATATTAAT